AGAACGCCTGCGCGATCCTCCAGGAGCAGCTGGAGCATCGCGCAGATGCTAGTACGCATGCGCGTGCCGCATGCGTGCACGCGCACGCCGCATGCGTGCGTGAGGATGCCGCCGGCCTCGTTTCAACCGATCCGGTTGGAACGGGGCGAGAAACCCACCCCTGGTCAACAAGAATAAAATATAAAAATGAGAAAAATGAAAAATCAAACCTCAACAATGAAAAAAATGGGTTAAAAAAAAAAAGAAAATGGGAATTGAGCACAGCCAATTTGGGATGCAACCTGATGGGGACTGTTTTATATTTAAATATTTGTTTATTTAAATTTATTACATTTAGTAAGTTCAATAAATTTGGTTGAAACTGTCCACCTGCCCAGAAACAAAAGAAAGCAAAAAGAAGCTGGAGAACAGAAAAATTTGGGCATAATGAGTGTATCATGCCATGGCAGCCCATTTGTTCCTAGCTAACCTTTGGCAGCCATTTTGTGCGTGTGCGAGAAAGAGAGAGACCATGTGTTCTCAACATTTCAGGAGCGCCTCCCAAACCTAAAGATCTCCTGAAATATAGTCTAAAACCTATTTTGACATGGTATGTTTCCAGTGTGGATGGGGGATTAGGGGAAATCACCATGACATATGCATCTAGGCAGGGGTGGGATTCAGCTGGTTTGGGCCAGTTCGGGCGAACCGGTAGTTCTGATGATCAGTTGGCCCCACCCATCCACCCCTGCTCTTTCATGTCTTATATTTTTCTGTTTTGTAGCTCAGCTGATTCGCACGGCACAGCGGATTGCCGTGCGTCAGCTGTTTTACTCACTGGTGCTGACATAGAAGGTAAGTTTTTAAGCTTAAAATGGGCGGTTTTTGAATGCTGCCGCGGACGCAAAGCGCATGTTAGGCATGCATATGTGCAAAGCATGCATGGACAGGCTCACCAAACCGGTTGTTAAACCAGTTGCATCCCACCACTGCATCTAGGCCCCCAAAATCCATTGCAGTATATCTCACCCTTGGAAACTTTAAGGCATGTGAACTTTAACTCCCAGAATTTTGGGAGTTGAAGTCCATACTCCTCAAAGTTGCCAAGTTTGAGAAACACTGTTCTAGACCTGTCTCACTTTTAACTCTAGGGACTCTTGTAGTCCCATCCTAGGATTTAATTCTGGGTCAGCTAAATGTTTACCAAAGCTAACCTCATAAAGCTGAGTGCATGCTTGATTCTCTTTCCCACCATGAGTGCCACCTCTCACCACCACCTCCTGGAAAACTGTCCCAGCCACTTTCTGCCTGGTTTGCAATTGTCAGCCACTCTGCACAGATGGCACCTTGGTCCACTACTGGGGCTTTTTGATAGGTCTTTTAATGTGATTTCTCTACTGAGAGGGAGAGAGGGAGGGAGGAGGAGGAGGAGGAGGAGGAGAGAGATGTTTATACTCTCTCTTGCAGAGGTGGTGGAAATTTTGAGTAGTTCGGAGAACCGGTAGATACCACCTCTGACTGGCCCTGCCCTCATTTTATTAAAAAAATGTGAAACATGTATATGCTTGCTGCAAAAGACTTGGGGTGCATTTGCAGATAAACTGTTTAAATTGGTTGTTGTTCACTTTAGGAACTGGAAGAAGGTTGGCATCAAAAAATTGCTGCAGAAATGAACCTCTCAGAAACAGCATTCATCAGAAAACTGCACCCCACAGATGACTTCACCAAAAGTAAGTAAACATTTGTGTAGTTAAATGTACCATTGCTGAAAGATGAATTACTAGAGGCACTTTTGATAAAGAAATTGGGTGTTATTGTGATAGATTATGAAATGAAGGTGAAGATCTATCCTATAGCTCCATGATGGCGAACATATATGGCATGCATGCCCGAAGTGGCACATGGAACCATGTCGCCTGGCACGTGTAGTGTCACCCATTCCTGTTCCAGGTTTATGGCATATATGCATGCGACAGCTGGCCTATGTGCGTGCGGTGGTACCAGAAACTGGATGAGCTGGTCTTCTGTTGTCCAGTGTGTGCATGCGTGCTGGCCAGCTGATTGTCGTGCGCTCATGCGTGCCAGTAACCAGAATACTAGTTGGCCAGTGCGCATATGTGCGCTGGAAACTGGAAGTTCATTTTCCGGCACGCGCAGCTCCTCTTTCAGGTTTTGGCCCAGACATATATGCGCATGCTTCTTTTTCAGCACTCAGTGCTGAAAAAGTTCGCCATCACTGGATTATAAGATCCAGTGGGAGATTTCAGGGCAATGCTGTAGATATCAAACAATAACTTATGCAAAACCCAACCTGGCCCCAAAGACCAGGTTGGGGGAGGCCCAAAGTTGAGGCTTACCAACAAGACTGGCTCCTGTCATGTTATGAACCACTCAGGGTCACCTGGTGAGATGGGCAGTGTATAAATTTGATAAATTTTTTAAAAAAGATATTTCATTAGTGCAGCCCAATTAAATCCTATAATATTAACCCTTGATATCCTAAATAGCTTAGAATAGGTCGCTTAGGGGTGATCTTTTCCTGACCTTGTGGATTACCAGATCATCTTTAGAGGCATTTTTTCAAGTATATGAAGCTTTTTCTGAATGTCCTCCCCAAAGAAATGACCTTGAAGCCAGTCTTCCATTTTTCTACTTTTTTTTTCTTAAAAAAAAGAACATTGAGTTTTGTGTTCCTTGTACCATTTTTGCTTCCTTGTTTAATTTTTCTGCTGTTGAATAAGTGATTTGTGAGCATCCTCTTTCAGGTTCCTGTTTTGGATTAAGATGGTTTACACCTACAAATGAGGTCCCTCTGTGTGGCCATGCCACTCTTGCATCTGCTGCTGTATTATTCCGTAAGAGTAAGTGGTATTTAACTGTTCAGTGTTTGACGCATGTTTTTTTTAACCTCCTTAAATTATTGAGTCTGTCATCTGCACCTTCATAGATGTCTGGTTTGGCTCTGCAACCAAACAAGACAGACACGGACTTCAAGCAGATAATTAGAACTGCAGGGGGAAAAAAAACAATTGCTACCAATCTGCCTTCCATTGAGGGCCTGTACACTGTGCGAGTCAAAAAGAGGGCTGTGAAAATATTTATAGACCCCCTCACATCCTGGACATAAATGGTTTCAATTTCTACCTTAAAAATGACGCAATAGGGCACTGCACACCAGAACAACTAGATACAAGGACAGTTTTTTCCTGAATGCCATCACCCTGCTTAACATTTAATTCCCACAACACTGTCAATAATTTACTAAGAATTATTACTATTATTCTTCTCTTCCTTCCTAGTATCTATCTCTCCCAACTTATGAGTATAACCATGTTGCTTGTAGCGCTTATTAGTAACATTGACTATCACTAAGTGTTGTATCTTTTTATTCTTGATGAATGTATTTTATTCTCCTTATGTATACTGAGAGCATATGCACCAAATTCCTTGTGGGTCCAATCACACTTGGCCAATAAAAAATACTATTCTATTCTATTACTATTCTATTCTATTACTATTCTATTACTATTCTATTCTATTACTATTCTATTATATTACTATTCTATTACTATTCTATTCTATTACTATTCTATTCTA